CGCGCTCTCCAACTCGGCGGCCATCCGGGCCGAGATCCAGCGCTTCGAGTCCGTGCATCCCAATATCTACGCCATCTACGACCTGATCGAGCGCATCGAGGATTTGGCGCTGCAGAACCAGATCCGGGAGCACGTCATCTCCATCGAGGGTGAGCGACCCCGGGGCTGCGGGAGCCGGGACGCGCTGGCCCCTCAGGCGCGCCGGCCGAGGGTTCCATGGGCCTGGCCCAGCCATGCTTTCCCTGTGGTGGTCCTGAGGTCCAGGCCACGCGGTTTGCTGATCGGCGCAGCAGAGCCGGCGAACAGGCTTCGCCATATCTTGCCCGGGGACACTTTGGGGTGGGGGGTCGGTCCCGCAGTAGGGGACATGTTTTCTGCTCGTGGTGCTCCAGGGCGCGAAGGTGGTGTCGCTCCGGGGGACTGGGGCCGGATCTGGCCTAGCATGGTCGGGGAGGGTGGGCGCGACGGAGGCCCTCGGCGGGCCAGGAGGTGGGGCTGCGACCAGGCAGGCTTTTCAGCCACTGCTCGGGCCCTGCCCTGCGGTGGGGCGGGGGATCGGAGCCGCCCGTTAGCGGATGGCAGCCTTCCCGGGCCCATCGCCTGCGAGCCCCGGAGGGTGGCGCTCGCCGCGGCGCCCTCTCCTGACGCACACCCCCAACGCCGTCGCGGCCGGTCGGGCGCGGGCCGGGCCTGGCGCAGGGCTGGGACTCTGCGACCGCGTGGGAGGCGCCGCCCGGTCTATGCGCGCGTGTGTCGCGTCCCGCGCGCGCGCCAGGTACCCGCCACTGCTTGCTGCGGAGGCAGGCGCGGGGTTGCCGGGCGCTGACTGACCTCCAGCGACGCCGCACCGGGCGTCAGAGACCGGAAATACCGGGCCACCGCGCTGCCCAGCGCGCCTTTCTCTGGGCTTTTGGTCCCTGGCCTTTCGGCTGCTGAGGGCCACAGGAAGTAGGGGCACGCTGCTGACAGATGCTCCACGACCCCTGGTGTGGTGGGGGCTGGCCACACCCGCAGACACCCCAGTGGCATCGTGACCTTCGAGCGTGCACGGACAGATGGGCCTCGCCCTGGGCCATCTGCTTCCTCCTCCAGCTCTGTTTGAAGGGGGACGCCCACCAGCAGGTGGTGGGTTCAGCCTTAGTAGAAATGCGGCGAGAGCCAAGACCTCTGGGATGACATGAAGTTGTGATCAGGGGCCTGCCTACCATGGGCCTTGCAGTTAGGGCCCCTGCACCCTTCTTCATCTGGTTGTGTGAGGCTCTGGGGGCTACTACACATGAGCACCCCTTTTCTGCTTTCAGAGGTCCTCATAGTTAGGGAAGGAGTCTTGGGTCTCTTGGGAGTAGAGGACCCCATGGGGAGCTGGAGTCCTGCCTTTGTGTTGTGACATGCCAATCTGACTTCCTTCTATCCTTTCCCCAACGGGCTCTTATCTCTTTCCTCTCAAGGCTGAGTTCACTGAACTAATTAGGTGACAGAAAAAACTCATTAACATGGATCTGAGTAAATGGCCTGAATCACCCGCTGTGGCTGGGGACTGGGAGATGGCATTTGTGTGAGCCTGGGGCCCCAAAGAATGGAGATGACCAATTTTTCGTCTTAGATCTGAAGGGGGTGGAATGGGGGAGAGACACCATTCACTGCAGCTTTGCTGCCCTTGGAGGAAGTAAAGAAATTCCTGATCCAATCAGAGATCACCTCCCCCAGCTTCTTTGGGAGGGTGAAGAGACTCTGTGGGCCATGGGAGGGTAAGGGAAGGGCCTCTGCTGCAGAGCCCTTCCCAATGCAGGGAGAGGAGAGATCAGCAGTGCTCTGTGCCCAACTCTGGCTTCATAAGCAGCGACGACCCCTCTTCCCCAGCTCAGGCATCTTCTGTGCTGTGAAGGCCATGATTCCTGGAATGCCCTTGGATTTTTTTGCCTTTGTCGTAAATCCAACATGACAGGCAGAATTTCCTCTCTGAGAGCCCTCCCCCGACCAACTTCCCCATTGTGGTTTGGAAATAACCCCATGGTTCCATCTGCTTGGCCTGGAAGCTCAGCATCACCATGGCAAAATCCTGGGACCCGGTGTCTCATTGTCACCAGACTGGCCTAGCTGCTGCTCACACATCCGTTCTCCGTGCTGCTGTTCCCTCTCCTCGTCCCTGCTGCCTTGCTCTCTCTTGGTGGGGCCGCCCAGCCCTTTTCCCCCTCCCCCCATGCCCAGCCTCTCTCCTGGCACCCATCTTTATATCTACCTCACCCCTCTTGCTTTCCCACTTTTGTCACCCAGCTTTTCTGCTGCAGGCAGAAAAAAGAAAAAGCACTTCTTCAATTTCTGCCCTATATCCTTCCTGCGATAGAACCCCTTTCCATCTGCCAAACCATATTGCTTCTGTCCTGCATAGCAGCGTCCTCAGCTTCTCTCTGTGAGGAGAGAGAGGCACAGATTTTTGAGGCGTTTCCGAGCTCACTCAGAGCCTGGACTGAGACCAAGCTCTCCCCACCCCTCAGGGCCAAGCAGACCTGGGCTTTTAGGTAAACACAACCTAGGCTCCTGGTGGGGCTCCCAGTCCAGATCCTGTGTTTCCTATGGGGTGAGGGATGACATTTTCAGAGTATATAACAGAGCTTCCCCTCACTTTGTTAAGATTTCCGTGAAAGGTTTGTTTGTTCCAGCTCTGAAGGTGACTTGGGCGATATGGTCACAATCCATTTGGCACTGAGGAAATGCCTTGGGCACCTTGGCCTCCTGTCCTCCCTCTGCTTCTCTCAGTCACCTCTGACCCCATAACCAGGGCAGGAAGAAGCAAAGGAACGTTCAGCTTTCCTGTGTTTCAGGACAGGATTTGAGAGGAGGCATTTGGAAAAGTTCATTTCCCACCAGAGGCCAAGGAAAGAGAAAACCTATCCATCACTTGGGCTTAGGGAATGGACGAAGTACAGCCCTGAGTTGAGACAGAGAGCTAGAAGGCTCACTGTGTGCCACCCTCGCCTCACTGGTGCAGAAACTGAGGCTCAGAGATGGGAAGGAACCAAACTGATACAGCCAGGAAAGAGTCTGGGCCTCAAGCAGGACCCAGCTTAGCACTATCTCACCTCCAGGGAAGCTCCCCTGACTTGCCTGGGTTTCCTGACAGTCCTAGAAAGAGGGATGCAGAGGAACCAGGGCCTCAGCCCAGATGGGAGACACTGGGCATATGGATCACGGATGCTGGCCCAAGCAAGTCTGGAGCCTGGGGAAGCTGCTGGGAGAAGCAGGCTAGGGGTTCTGGCAGGGGCCCTGGAAAGGCCTGCTGGTCCCAATAGGTATGTGTGTAGGAGACGGCTGTTCCAAGGGGGGCAGGGCATGCAGGGAGGGCCTGGAGCCCTCCCTGGCAGTTCCGGAAGGGCTCTGGCCTGGAAGTGGACTGGGTCTCTCTGTGCCTGTGCCATATGGTGACTATTGTGTATGCTGGAACCCAGCTTTGTCAGCTGAATGACTTGTTCGAGTTTCCCCTTTGTTTTCCCCTTAGGGCTTTTTTTTGGTCTCCAGCAATGTCTTTGAGCATTCCAGCCACCCTTGCTGGAGGGTTCTCACTCTCACCCTCATTCAGTTCACTAGTTGCCTGCCCTGGGCTATGGGGTTGGGAACTTTCTAAAAAGACTAAGGGAAAGAGTTGTGGGTGTTTCCTGTTTGGGTCAAGCTTCGGGTAAGGTGGCAGCTCCCAGAGAGAGGGATGAGGGCCTCCTCAGCTGCCCACACCTTGGCTCACAGACCTCCCTCGGGCACCCCTGGGGTTTAGTATTTGTTTCTGTTTGTCCTGTGATTCGATCTTAGAGAATAGGAATAATGGTATCAATTTTAGAAGCAGAAGTGCTCTCTGCTGAGCTAATTTGCCTTTCTTACTATTCCTGGGGAGGGCATTCCTCAGCCTGGCCATGATACCCACCTGTGGGCCTTGCTACACTGCATTCCTTTAAGAGCCCGTCAAAGATTTTATGGGCATGGGACGCTGTTGGAGTCTCACTCTGTAGCCCAGGCTGGAGAGCAGTGGCAGAATCACGGCCATTGCAGCCTCCACCTGCTGGGCTCAGGTGATCCTTCTACCTCAGCCTCCTGAGTAGCGGGACTACAAGCGCGTGCCACCATGCCCAGCTAAGTTTTTTTACTGTAGAGACAGAGAGCAGGAAGAGGGCCCCCCCCTTGCCCCTTGTAGCTCACACCTCGGCTTACAGGCACCCCTGAGGCCTGCCTGGGGTTTTTAGTATTAGTGTGTGATGAGGTCTTGCCAAGTTGCCCTGCTCCTGGTTTCCAACCCCTAGACTCAGGCAGTCCTCTCACCTCCTCCTACCAAAGTGCTGGGATTACAGGCTGGAGCCACTGCGTATGACCTTTCAAGGATTGTGTTGGGGCATCTAGGATGGGGCCGATGATCTCTGCATCTGTGACTCTCCCCAGCCATTCTGGTGATTTGCTGGTTTAGAGAATGAGCATCTAGTGGCAGCATGGTTGCTTATGTAGGACTTTACACACAGGGGTTCTAGGAATTCTGAAAAAGAGGATAACCATGTGGGTGCTAGTAGCCAGGGAAAGCTGCATTTGTTCCAGATACATTTATTTAGCTCCTACTGTGTGGCCCAGTTGCATTTAACTCAGTAGAAAGCTGGAGATCAAAGGGGAGGAGGGGAGAGAAGGGGATGGAAGGTCTGGGCTTGGTGCAGTGGAGAGAGAACGACTCAGCCCATAGGTGGTGTCAGAGGGGCACTGGAAGTGGCAGGAACAAGGCTCAGATTTTCAGAAAACCAGGGCAAAGATCAGAGACTTGGGAAGTCCCAACAAGGCCCTTTCCTGGCCAGGTGCAGTAGCTCACACCTGTAATCTCAGGGCTTTGAGAGGCTGACGTGGGAGAATCACTTGAGGCCAGGAGTTTAAGACCAAATTGGGCAATTTAGCCAGACCATCTCTATCAAAAAAAAAAAACAACAAAACTAACCAGGTATAGTGGCACCTATCTGTAGTCTCAGCTACTTGGGAGCTGAAGCAGGAGGATTACTTGAGCCCAGGAGTTTGAGTCAGACCCTGTTTCAAAAAAAAACAAACAAAATACTCCACCCCTTTCCTCAAGGTCTATGGCACACCCACCCTGATCTCAGGTTGCATGACCTCAGGGTCAGTGAGGTGGGAA